GAACTCTGGGCCTTAGTGCTGTCCCTCAACTCTTAAGCTCAAGGAGGCTAGCACTCTACCACTTGAGCCACAGTGCCACTTCCAGTTTTCTGGTGGCTTATTGGAGATCAGAGTCTCACAAACTTTTTTGCCAGAGCTGACTTTGAACCGCAATCCTCAGATCTCAGTCTCCTGAGTAGCTAGAATTACAGGTGTGAGCCACCAGCGCCCGGCATCAAAACATGTTAAAAGAGTGAAAGACTTTAGAATTCTCAGTCTCCCATAAATGTCACCTGTATTGTTGGGTGCTGGTGGCTCACTCCTATAATCTTTGCTACTCAGGAGGCTGAGATCTGAGGATCAAAGTTCAAAGGCAGTGGGGGGGGGCGGCAAGAAAATCTGTGAGACTTTTAACCAATTATCCAGCACAAGGCTGGAAGTGGAAGTGTGGCTCAAATGGTAGAGCACTAGCCTTGAGTAGAAAAAAACAAAGGGACAGTTTCCAGTCCCTGAGTTTAAGCCAGTATCAGCACCAAACAAACAACAAAAAAGGAACAAAGAAAGAAAGAAAGAAAAATCATCTGTATTAAAGTCAGGGAGGGATGGACTACAGGAACAAGAGAACATGATTAAAAGTTAGGCCGCATGTAATTGCATTCACATGCCTGTGGCAAGAGACTTGCTTAGAGGTAGTGAGGGAACCCAAAGACTACAAGACACAACATCCATCTAAGCCAGAGTCCCACAGCCCAGACATCGTAGACACCTTGAGTAGAGTTCTTTGCTGGGAAAGGCTGTGCTATACACTGTAGATGTTTAGTAGCATTGTCTAGTTACCAACAGCACCTCCACCTTCCCACCCAAGCTGTGATGACCAAAATGTCTACATTGTCCAATGTCCTCTGGGGTGGGGTGCAGTGGGGGAGAAAGGCAAGATCATTCCTCATAGAGGTGCTCTAATCTAGGCCAGGCATTCTTCTTTTAAAAAGGCATTTTCTCTAGTTCAATGAGGTGATTCACATTTACAAGCCCAGCACTTGGGAGTCTGAGGCGGAAGGATAGTATATTGGAGGCCAAAGGTGCCACCCCTGCCTCCCATCATTGGGGCTTGGGTGCTATCCCTGCGTTCTTCAGCTCAAGGCGAGCCCTCTACTGCTTGAGCCACAACGTCACTCCCGGTTTTCTGGTGGTTAATTACCAATAAGAGTCTCATGGACTTTCCTGCCCATTTGACTTTGAACTACAATCCTCAGATCTCAGCCCCCTGAGTAGCTAGGATTACAGGTGTGAGCCACTGGCCCCTGGCTTTTGTTTGTTTTTAAGAACTAGAACAGTAATGTCTGTTGCTACGACAGCTGTTTCCATAATGCCATTAGCTCACAGATTGGTAAATAGTAAAATGATGTCAATAGAACGTAGGTGATGTTGGTTCATTATTTTTCCTTGCCCAAAGGAGCTAGAATATTGAGGACAGAATGAAAACCTCCAGCCAGCAGAAAATGGATGCACTTTCTTTAGTCACCAGCGCAGCAGGGATCTCTCCTACATGGTAGCTGGCCATGGTTTCAAATGGGCTTAGACCTTGATTCAATGACTGTGAGCCTTGAAAGGATACCTTTTTTTTTTTGTCAGTCATGGGGCTTGAATTAAGGACCTGAGTGCTGTCTCTTAGTTCTTTTGCTCAAAGCTAGTTTTCTACCACTTTGAGCCACAGCTCCACTTGTTTTTTGTGTTTTGAGTTGCTAATTGGAGAAAAGAGTCTCTCAGAACCTTTCTGCCTGAGCTGTCTTGGAACTGAGATCCTCCAATCTCATCCTCCTGAGTAACTAGGATTACAGGCATGAGCCATGGCTTTTCTGCATTCTCACCATCCCCCAATGAAGCCTCCAGCCACGACAGGCTGCCAGCCAGGGTTTTTCTCCTACTACTACCAAGGGTCTTTAGTGTTCAAACAGTGTATAGGTGTCAAGTCTTTTTTCTCAAGTCAATTTTCCTCCCATAACCACTTCACTTTTGAGTGTGTGATTTGGGGAATACACACATGAATTTCAAGAGACTCTGTGCTTGGTTCCTGTGTCAGCTGATTGTTGAGGACTGTCCAGGCAGCTCCCCTAGTTCCACACCCATGAGTCGCCCTCTGACCATTCCTGGTTTCCCAAATACTTGCTGGCAGAGAAGTGCATTTGCTTCTCTCTCCTTTTTTTTGGGGGGGGGGGTTCAGTCGTGGGGCCTGAACTCTGGACCTGGGCGCTGTCCCTCAGCTCTTCAGCTCAAGGCTAGCACTCTACCACTTGAGCGACAGCGCCACTTCTGGCTTTTTTTTTTCTGCTTATGTGGTGCTGAGGAATTGAACCCAGGGCCTCATGCATGCAAGGCAAGCGCTCTACCACTGAGCCACCTTCCCAGCCCCCATTGTTTCTCTTGCATTCTCTGCCTGTCGCTTTATATTTCTTTCTTTTTTCTTTTTCTTTTTTTCGGTTGGTCGTGGGGCTTGAACTCTGGGCCTGGGCGCTGTCCCTCAGCTCTTCAGCTCAAGGCGAGCGCTCTACCACTTGAGCTACAGCACCACTAGAAATGCTCAATTTCTCTAGCCATAAAAGAAATGCAACTCAAAACAACATTGAGATTCCACCTCAGTCCAGTTAGAATGGCTATAATCAAGAAATCCTGTAACAATAGATGCTGGAGGGGATGTGGTCAGAAGGGAACCCTACTGCATTGTTACTGGGAGTGTAAAATTGTTCAACCACTTTGGAAAGCAGTATGGAGGTCTCTCAAAAGACTCCACATGGAGCTCCCTTATGACCTAGCAATCCCATTTTTGGGCATTTACCCAAATGATCACAAGACCATATTAAGGCCACTATAAGGTCCACTCTTGGATGGCGAGCAGACTCCACCCTCCTTGCAGCAAAGTCTCCACCCAGTACCTGCATTACCTAGGCAACTGGCACACCTGGAAGAGGTCACACCTGCATCGGCTGAGGTCACATCAGAATTTGATGTGGCCACACCTTTCTCTGCCCATACCCTAGATAAGGCCTTGCCCAGGCCCCGACTTGCTCTTTCCCAGCTCTCTTTCCCAGGCCTGTCCCAGCCGAGTGGAGGGCTAACATGGCCTGGTGCCAGCCAGAACGATCAATAAACCTACCCCTTACCTGAATACCACGTGCATGGTGCTGTTCTTACTTGGCTACCTCTTTTTAAAAACCTAACAGCCACCAACACAACTATGTTTATCGCAGCATTATTTACCATTGCTAAGATATGGAACCACCCCAGATACCCATCAGTAGATGAATGGATCAAGAAAATTATATATATACATATATA